GGGGTCGCGGTGGGTTGGGCCAGTGGTGATATAGAGGGGGGTGGGGAGCGGGTGGTGCAGGGGGGAGGGCAGGTGGGGGGAGCAGAAGTGGGGAGAATTCAGGATAAGATAAGATAAGATATGGAGAATACAGGAGAAGAGAGGTAATGAAGGATAGGGCAAGATAGATGGAATACATTAGGGCACAAAGGACAAGGCAGTGTATAAATAGAATACAAGATAAGACAGATTAAATACAGGATTAGGTTGGTTACGTTCAGACGAAACGAAATGGGCAGGATATGATATGATGGGATGTGACCAGATACATCTTCTGAACAAGTAAGCCGGTGCTAATGCTAGCTTCGAATGCCATATGATGGGTGGTGGGATGCTTCCTGGACATATCCTGTTCTAATGATAGCTTAGAATGCGTAAGAAGGGAAGAAAGTTATGGAGGGAGGGAGGGTAGGAAAGAAGGAAGAAAATGATTCTCAATTTTAATAATTAAAAAAAAAAAAAAAGGAAACAAGGAATAAAACGATGCTAATCAAATGAATTAGGCAAGGAAGAAGCCAAATAGATCTCTGTTGTTCCTCCCTTTCTCCTTCTCCTCCTTCTCATCGGTCAAAATCATGGCCAGCAGAAACTCTTCGTCTGGAGAACTTGAAAACGCCCTCCACCCACAGATATTGCTGAGAGTACTCTCTCTCTCTCTCCTCTCTCTCAACGGAGAAGTCGAACACGTCGAACACTTTCCCTCGGACGACGACGACTGTGATGGTCATTTCATCATGCACCAAATATTTCCCCAAAAGAGGGGATCCTGAAAACAGTGAAAAGGTCTCTATAAGATCGCTGGAAGGAAGGGGGGTCGGTGAGGGGGTGGAGTGGCACGGAGAGGAGAGATGACCTTTGTAAGGGAGAGGAGGGGGGGGGGGGGGGGGGGGGGGGGGGGTGAAAAAGTCAAACCCAGGTTCCTCATGGATAAGGTTCCCTCTGAATTGGCATCGTAACCCGCCTGCTTGCTTCGGCTTTGCTTGGACACCCCTTGTGAATCTTTACCACAGGCCGGCCCATCTTTCGGAAAAGGGCAATCAAACAGGCGCCTAAGTAACCCCCATTAAATGGAACCCCTTTAATGGCCTCGATCCTTCAATAGCAGATCGATGAACAAGTCTGAAGCAGAGTCAGGAAGTGTGTGACACTCAATTTAATAGGGGCCTAAGTAACCCCTCTTAGTTTCCCGTCCCAATGCCCACAGCTTTGGGCAAACCACATCAGCTAGGTTCCAGAGAACTGTGCCACCAAGAATAGGCGGACAGGCGGAAGCCTACGATTCCAAGCCCTTTGTGACGTTCCAGCTTGCCTGATGGAAAAACCACTCTGCCTTCAGTCCTCACACGATGCACGTGCGCATGCTCTCTCTCTCTCTCTCTCCAGCTTGCCTGATGGAAAAACCACTCTGCCTTCAGTCCTCACATGATGCACGTGCGCATGCTCCTGTCTCTTATACACATCTAGATGTGTATAAGACAACTGTATTATAGGAGGAAGCATGCGTACAGGTCTGGCTGGGCTTGACATGCATCATTCAGACTACAGGGGGCACTGATGATTACCTTTTCCCC